TCGGGCAGCTCTCCAGGGAGGATTCACAAATCCCTGTCCCCAAAAATTTAACTCGGGGTTTCGAAGCTCTGACTGCAGGGGAAGCCCGGGCCGAGAGCAGCCCCGGGGCTGTGGGGTGACCACAAATCCCAAAAATGTGGCATTAGGGCAGAGCAGAGGAACAGCTCCCAGCAGGGTAATTTGGGGGAAAGAGGAGCAGCATGTCCCCCAGCTGAAGTGCCCTGGGATCCCCTAACCCCATGGAATGGGAAGGGCTGTTTTGGTGACCTATTTCTTCTGAAGTGGCAACCTCCCCTTTATCAGAAACATGAATTATTCATCTTTCAGGAGCAGCTCAAACCCTCACATAGTTTTGCCTTTTTTTTTTTTTTTTTTTTTAAATATAAATACATTAACAAATCAAGAAACCCAAAGCTCCATTTTAAAGGGGGAGAAGATGATTTTTTTTTTTTTTCTCTCACCGCCATGGGCAAAGCCTGGTTTATTTTCACTATTTTCACCCAGAACTGCCTTTTGTTTTCCCCTTGGGCCTTGCTAAGCTACAGTTCTGCAGGGCCACGCTCCTGAACGAGGCAGGAGGAGCTGAAATAGTCAAGTTCAGACTCTCTTAAGCTGCTGCCCAACCCCAGGAACGAGGGAGGCCCATCCCTGGCACGAATCCTCCCTGTTCCTTGGCACTCGTTCGACTGGATCCTGCTCAGGAACTGCCCCAGCTTCTCCCAGACACAGCCCAGCCTTTAAAACAGAGCAGCAGGAGCCGCTCCTTGCACAAGAGGGGAATTTTTAAAGGCAGGGATCCCTCCCTCTCCAAACACAGGGGGAAAAATAAATAAGATTTTTTTACCTCGTCCAGCCCCTCCAACCCCACGGCCCTTCTGCTGCTTCTGCTGCTGCATCCCACCACGGCCTCTGCCCTTGGACACCACCTCCTCCTTCACCATGTCGATGATTTCGTCGGGGATCCGCAGGTATTTGATGGTGCTGCCACGGATGTAGCACTCCGGCATCCTCCAGAACTTGTCCCCGTCCTGTTGGGGAGCCACACGTGAGGCCACGAGCAAAAACTCATGGTTTTGGGTCAATTTGAGGGATTTTGAACTTGTCTCCATCTTCTTGGGGAGCAACACGTGAGGGCACAAGCAAAAACTGATGGTTTTGGGTCACTTTTAGGGGATTTTGAATTTGTCCCCGTCCTCTTGGGGAGCCATATGTGAGGGCACAAGCAAAAATTGCTGGTTTTGGGTCACTTTTAGGGGATTTTGAACTTGTCCCCATCCTGTTGGAGAGCCACACGTGAGGGCACAAAAAAACCCTGCTGGTTTTGGGTCACTTTTAGGGATTTTGAATTTGTCCCCGTCCTGTTGGGGAGCCACATGTGAGGGCACAAATAAAACCTGCTGGTTTTGGGTCACTCTGAGGGATTTTGAGCATTTCTGGAGAGGGCAAGAGCTGCAGCAGTCCTTGCTGGGAGCATTATCTGTAACCAGCTGTGAAAAATGTTCGTTCAACTCCACAAAACACAGAGCCCCACAATCAACTTTTAGTTTCAATTTGTCCCACAGCTCCCTCAAACACTGGCAGAAAATGTCAGAGGAAGAGGGGGAGGAAACAAGGCCCTTCTGCCCTTCCCACACGAGGAGGGAATTGAAAGTGGGACAAGAGACACGAGTTAAAAACAGTGGTGAACAACCAATTCTGGTAAAAAAAAACCCAAAAAAAATTGCAGCTGTGGCCAGGATTCTTGTCCAGCTGGGAGCCACCCCACTCCTTCTCTCCTCTGGGGTGTGGAAGGAGCAGCGAGGCAGCTCTGGAGCCAGCTGGCTGTGGGATGTGAGCAGCTGAGGGGAATAAGGAGCTCGCTTATTATATATTTATTAAAAAAAATTAAAAATAAAAACCTTCAGGTGCCCAGTTTCGGAGCAGCCACCTCGCTGAGCTGCTTTTCAGGCAGTTTAAGGATTTTTTTGGGGTACCACGGGCTTCCCTAGGACTCATCCCAGCGGGTGGCTGTGGGAATGAGAACCCCGAGCTGAACAACAACTGCCTGGCCATGATGTAAGTGGGAGGAGGGACTGGGAGCCGGCTCCAGCTGCAGCTGGGATGGCTCCAGCCCAGCCATCCTCGCGTGGAGCAGGCGCCTGCAGCATCCCAGGAGAGGAGGAGAAACCAGCACGCCCCAGCCCTGCTCTCCGGGGACGCCTCCCCACGCCCCAGCAGTTATTTGGGGCAGCTCTGCCTGCACGGGCAAGCCCAGGACGGGGGCAGAGGAGCAGCAATTCCCCTCCCAGGAGACACCCCAAACCCCACCCTGCCTGGGATGCGCCCGGCTGCTCCTTGGCTCGGGATGCAGGAAGGGATGGAGCTGCAGGCGCTTCCTCGTTCCGGCCTCTCCCGGGTAAACAGGCGGCTCCCGGCTCGTTGTCCCGTGCCATCTAGCGGCCAGTCCACCAGTGCCACCAGTGCCACCGGTCCAAGGCACAGATTCCATCCTCGCCCGGCGTTTTTTGGTGGGTTTGGAGGCAGCCGAGGCCGCTGCGCTGCGTGCCGGGCGGTGGAGTGGTGGAATGGTTTGGGTTGGGATGAAAAGATCGTCCCAGTTCCGCTCCTCCCACCAGCTCAGGTGGCTCCAAGCCCTGTCCAGCCACAGCTGCTCTGGGAATTTCATCCCAAACCCTCAGCACCTTCACAGGGAGGAGTTTCCTTCCCAAAATCCCACCTAACCCTGCCCTCGCTCCGTCCTGTCATTCCATCCCTTGTCCAAAGTTTCTCTCCGTGGTTTTGTCGGCCCCTTCAGGGTCCAATTAAGTGACCCCAGAGCTTCTCACAACCCCAGTTCTCCCAGCCTTTTCCCACAGGAGAGCTGCTCCATCCCTCTGATCATCCTGGACTCGCTCCAACACCCCCACGTCCTCCTGGGTGATCCCTCCCAGTAAAACCTGGGCTGCTGCTCTTCCCAGGCAGAGCACTGAGCCTTTGGAAGCAAATTTCCAAGGAAAAGGAATCATCACCTGTGTCCTGGGCACGGGTGAGGCTTTGCTGTCACCTCCTCTGAGCCGCCCTCCCGCTAAATTCAACAGTGGTTCCTTGCCCCACCATGACCCAACCTCAAATTCCAAAATTCCACCCCAAAACTCCCTGCAAACCCCACTCAGGGCGTCTCCTCTGTCACACCACTCTAAACTCCTGTCGTGGAGACAACGGGAACTACAAACAGGGGATTTGCAGGGGGAATTTTGGAAGAACAAGGATCTGGCGCTCCAGGGCTGGGAAAGCACAACAGCAGCAGCTGGATTTCCATCCAGCTGTGCTTCCCACAGGGACGAGACCAGACACTTCTGGTGGAGGTCAAAGCCCAGAACACAGATCCCAATCTCCTGGAGCAACTTTGGCCAAGGGCAAAGGTCCCAGACAGCCTCAGGGGGGGTGAACTCGGTTGGATGTGGAGAGGGGAGAGAATAAAAGAGTTTGAAGGGAATAAAAGAGATTGGAGGGAATAAAAGTTTGGAGGGAATAAAAGATTTTGGAGGGAATAAAAGAGTTTGGAGGGAATAAAAGAGTTTGGATGGAATAAAAGATTTTGGAGGGAATAAAAGAGTTTGTGGTGTTTGAGGCTGCCTGGGACAGGTAAAGGCTCTGTTTTTTGGGAAACCTGGACCAGTGTCACAGCACGTGGCCCCCCACTCCTCACCCAGGGGGAAGAGGGACCCCAGCCCCTCATCCTGTGATGTGCAGTCACCCACAGACATACACGAGGCTGCTCCTTCATGATGGGCGTTATCAATAATTAAATGGACGTTATCAATAATTACATTAAATCTGCATTTCAGGCAGGGTTCACGCCGCCATAGGAGCGGTGTGAACAACAGCAGAGCCAGCCTGGCTGCAGGGACAGGGCTGGGGAGCCTTTGGGGACAGATTCTGGGGTGACAGTCCTGTCTGCTCCCGGGTGCTCCCCGCGGACACTGCCGTGGGTGACCCCTGCCCGGTACCGGCGCCGGTGCTCCAGCCTTACCCGTGATGTGCAGATGACCTCCCGCAGGTTGATGTTCATCCAGTTGTCGCAGCTCACCAGGTGCCCGTTGTACGTCTCCCCGTTCTTCAGCTCCACCAGCTGCGGGACAACAGCAGTCACGGGGGCGCCGGCCCAGCGCCGGTACCGGGACGTGCCCGGTGTCACCCGCACGGCACCGGCGAGGGGAGCGGGGCTGGGCCGCGCGGCCGGTACTCACCATGGGGTGGTTCTGCGCCGTCTTCAGTAAGGACAGGGGCAGCTACGAGGGGAAGAGAGGAGAAAGGCCTTAGGCACCGACCGACAACGGGACACCGGACGGGGCACCGACCGAGCAGCGAGCGGGGCACCGGGCACGCCATCCGTGGCGGGGGAGAAGAGACGAGCCAGGCCCTGCCCTCCCCTCCAGCCTCCTCCCGAGCCCGCTGCCCGGTTCCCGGTTCCCGGTGCCGCCGCTCACCATCGTGCCGGACCGGGAGCCGCCGCCGCGCCGGGCGCTGCCGCTCAAACCGCCCCCGGCTCCGCGCGGGACCAATCAGAGCGCGGCGCGGTCCGGCCGCAGCCAATCAGAGCGCGGCGCGGTCCGGCCGCAGCCAATCAGAGCGCGGATCGCGGCCCGGCCGCGCCGCGCCGCTCGGTCCGCGCCTTTGCGGCGGCGCCGCCCGGGACGGGGCGCGCCGGGACGGGGCGGGACGCGCTCCGCACCTCCGGTACCGCGGCCGCGCTGCGTGCTCCGCCACAGCCAGCCAGGGAGCCCGCGGGAGGCTCAAGGTGAGCGTTTTGTTTAACCAATCCCCCCCCGCAACGAGTGCCGCGGTGAGGCGGGCGAGCCCCTCGGGGTGCGCCGCGCACGGAGGGCGGCGGCGGCCGGTAACGGGAGAAGGGCTGCAGGCCGTGCCGCTGCGGGACTTCCGCCGCGGCGGCGGAAGCGGCGGGCCCGGGCGGCGCGGGGCGGGGCGGGCGGCGCGGGGCGGGGCCGCGCTCAGTGCGGGGCGGCGGCGGCGGCGGCGGCACCGGACGGGACGGGACGGGACGGGCGGGACGGAGCCGCGATGGAGAAGCCGCGGCGGGCGGTGGTGGTGACGGGTACGGGGCGGCGAGAGGGGAACTGGGGTGGGGGGATGGATGCGGGACCCCCTTCCCCGCGGGGGGATTTTGGGGAGCCCCTCCGCGAGGTGCGGGGAGGGCAGGTTGGGGGGTGAAGGGGTCTGGGGGTGTCGGTGGGGGACCCCTGCTCGGGGGGAGGAGCGGGTTTGGGGGTCCTTTTCCCGAGCTAAAGTGGCCGGGGTGGGTGTAAGACCCCCTCCCCGAAGTGATGGGGGGCTTGGAGGGTGCTGCTGCTCGCTGGTGAGGAATTTGGGGAAGAGGGGTAATTTTGGGGACCCCTTCGCTTTGGGGGCTCGGAGGGGGCAGCTGGGGATGTGTTCCCTGAGATGGCAGCGGGGGGATAAGTGGGGGGACCCCTTCCCTGAGGTGAGAGGGGGGTCTGCTGTCCCATTGGGGTGGCTGAGGGAATGGGGAGCGGGGGATGTCCCCTCGGGGGGATGTTTCGGGGGGCTGTCCCCCGTGTGGGGCCAAAAATGGGGTGCAGGGCAGAGTCCGGGTGGCTTTGGGGCCGGGCTGCTGTGGGTCAGAGCTGGGGGGATACCGTGGCGAGCGGCTTTCCTAACAGCGGGCGCTCCCCGTTTTCCGTGCGCGACCCCATCCCAAAAGCTTTTCTCTACCAAAAAAAGGGAATCTTGCCTCTGGAATAACAGCAAAACCAAATTGGGGCGCAGGGAGTGGGGGTCACCCGCTGACCACCCCACCCTGAGCTCCCCAAGTGTGGGGGCTGCTCCCCAAAACTCCCCCGAGAAGCGGCCGGGGGAGAATTGAGCGCGGGCGGCCGGAGGCCCCGGCGCTGTCAGGCTCTTCCCGGGGTACAAAGGCAGCTCGGGGTGATTTGTGGGTGAGGCCGTCCTGTGACAAATGGGGAACTCGCCCAAACTATTCAGGTCTCCCCCCAGCAGCTGAGGCTGAGGTTTGAATAGCGGGGCACAGGCAGAATCGCCTTTTCCAGGGAATTCTTGTGGGGAGCCAAGGAGCAGGTGGCAAATCCTGCCTTCCCCAGCCCCAAATCCAGCGTGGAGCGGCGGTGACTAAACAGAAAACTTGCGTCAGGAAACGTTCTGCTGCTCGCAAGGCTCCTCCACGCTCCTTTTTTTTATTTTTTTTCCCCCTTTTTATTTTATTTTTTTTTTTAATTTCAGGAAAATCTGGTTGCAAAATGCAGTGGTTGCCTTGCCAGCCCTGCCCCTGTTCCATAATGTCGTGGATGTCGCGCGGAATTCCGTTTTCAAACTGGGGAATGGGGTCGTGTTCCCAGTGGGTTCCCAGCCCGTGCTGGCCGAGGATAAGCGTTATTTGTGCACAATTTCTTTTTTAGAACTCGTTAAGGAGATAATCCCATCACCGTCCCCGCAGCTGGTTTTGCTGCTAATGAGCCTTGGTGGATGTGCCGTGCTCCGTGGGGTCGGATGCTGCCCACAAATTCCCTCTGCTCCTGGGAAAGGATAACACCAGGGTCTGGGCAGGGGATGAGTCGGAGCAGGGATAACCCCAGCTGTGTTTGTGCCAGCTGGATTTGGAGCCAGGAAATCCTGCCTCGTGCCTGGGCACCTGTAGAATTTCAGCCTTTCCGTGGCTGAGTTGTTAAAATGTGGATTTTGTTTCTCTTATAGGATTGCCAACGCTTTATTTAGGAATTCGGCTTAGCGGGTCTCAGTGTTTGCTTCCAGAGAGTCGTGTGGGACTTGCAGGAACAGCTGGGAAGGCATTAATTTACCTCGTTCCCCTGTCATAGTTTGTCTCACACCCCTGCAGTTCTGCTGGCAGGGAAACACCCCCAACATTTTGGATTTTTTGGGAATATTTATTTCGGCGAGCCGGCAACGCCGGGTTGAGATCCAGGGGCGTGGAGGAGCCCACGCTTGGGAAATTCCTCCTTGTGCAGCATCACCTCAGCCTGCCTGGGGAGAGGGCAAATCCAACATTTCCATTAAGGTGTCAGCTGATATTTGTGGTCCCTCTCGGATCCTTTCAGGGCAGAATTTATGTCTCCTAATTGCACGAGGCTCGGAGGGCAACGCTGACATTTGAAATGAAAGCATATCGATGGTACGCCCAGATAAATTGCCCAACCTTTGTGTGCTTGCTCAGGGGAAAAAAAAAAAAAAAAAAAAGAAAGATGTTATGGATTACCAGTTAAGTCCAAAGTTATTCATTAGGAATTTAGAGGTGCTGAAGGAAGTATTTTTGATCACGCCTTGGTAGCCTTTGCTGTGCTGTGGGTGGGTTGTCAACAGCTCTGTTTATTTCCTTGTGAGGTGTAATTAATGCTAACGAAGATCTTAGAGAAGACCCTGAGTGGAGAAGGAAAATTTGAAGCATCTGCTGTGGGCTGAAGCAATCAGGAATAGAAAACCCAATCATGATTCTAATTCTGTGGCATCGGGAGAGTTAGCTGGTAATAACAAATTTTTCTAACCTGGGCAGCAAGGAAAATTCTTTCCCCCAAGAAAAAAAAAAAACAAGTTTCTTTTCAAGCAAGTTATTGTTTTTCTTCACTGTACAAGGCTGTAGTTGAAATAGTTCAGTGCAGGTGTCTTGTTTGATGCTCAGGTGTAAAGAAATAAGGACTGAGAGGTAGAAATGGGGTTGGGTTTTGGGGTTTTTTTTTGTTGTTTTTGTTTTTTTTTTCAGGAGAGCTAAACCCAAACCTCTTTGCAACTTCAAGTTGAGTCAAATCAGTGAATTTTTCTTCTCTTGCAGGGTTTGGGCCGTTTGGAGAACACGCTGTGAACGCCAGCTGGATTGCAGTTCAGGTAACCCCTGAATTTTCCTCTTAGGAGGTGTCAAAACAGAGGACAAATCCCTTACAAATTCGGGTTTTCAGCCCTTTTTATCACTTACAACTTCTCGTGGAGCTCTCTGCAGATCTCCAGATGGTCAGCTGGATAATGTTTGATTCCCTGCTCAGAAAACAATCCCTTAGCTGGTGCAGTTTAATGAGATTGAGTTAATGTAGCTGAGGCAAGGAAGGAATTCCCAGCTTTGGATGCTTTTAAACGGGGCAGGGAGCTTGGAATCTTCCCCTGCCCCTGGAGAATTCCAAATAAACAAACCAGCTGACCAGCCCAGAGGAATCTGGATGTTTTTCTCCCAGTTCTGACTTGAAGCTGGGCCAGTTGGTTCACCTTTAAACCCAGCCTCATCCCTGAGAGGACACTTCCAGCTGGAGGTTTCGTGGTGTGAGCATCAGCAGCCTGATTTTGAGGCAGAGCTGTCTCTTTTCTCCCCCTGGATCACCCCAAAATTTTTGGGGAAATGCTTTTCCTGCCTCGCTCCGAAAAATCAGCTTTATGCCACCTGTAGCACTGTGTCTGCCTGGGCACATCCCTAAAATCCTGGAATATCCTGGGAGTCATCCAGTGCAGCTCCTGGCCATGCACAGGGCACCCCAAAAACCCCACCCCGTGCCCTGGAGTTCATCTGAGCGAGGCTGACATCCCACAGATGAGGCAAGAAGAATGAATTAAGCTCTTTTTGGTGGAATTAAGGTGGGTTTTTTTTGGCTGTAAAAGCACTTTTTACAGGGATGGTGCTGCCACATTATCCCACTTCTTCCTTCTTTGTCACTTCTGGATGGAGTTTGTGGCAAAGCTACTGGGAATTCCATGGTGCCTTTTAGTACAGTTGCCCAGGGAATTAAATCTATTTTTCTCCCCACCACGCCTCTCTCCCCTTCAGAGCTCTGAGATTAATTTCTTCTTTCAAATGCTTTTAAATTAAATCACAAAACTCTAATCAATTACAGCCAACTAATGTCCAGCTGCCTAATGTCTTGGCTGGTGGGGGAAGACAAAACCTTTGCCTCCAAGAGCTTTTTGGGGATGAATATATTTAAGTTTGGGTCAGTTTGGAGGAATATGCAGGTTGTGGATGGGGGAAAAAAAACACAGGACACTGCTAAAAATCAGAAGTGAGGCTCGCTGCTTTGGTTTGTTCTTGCTGGTGGAGTGTCAGCTGTTGTAAATAGCTGATTTATTTTAGAGGAGACAGACAAAAGGGTGTTTTTGGAGCAGGAGGAGTGGTGGGTGTTGTGATGTTGCTTGGAAAAAAATCAACAGACCTGAGGAGTGCTCGAGGCACTGGTGGCTGCTCAGCTGTGTGGCTGGTGGATGAAGTCATCCCCTCCAAATCTGTTCTGAGGAGCTTGGGCGTGACAAAACTCAGAATTGGGGGAGTTTTGGGTGGATAAATGCAGAGTTGGGGGTGTTTTGGGTGGATGAACTCAGAACTGGGGACGTTCTGAGTGTCGAAAATCAGAATTGGGGATGTTTTGAGTGTCGAAAATCAGAATTGGGGATGTTTTGAATGTCCAAACTCACAACTGGGGATGCTTTGAGTAGCTAAACTCAGAACTGGGGGTATTTTTAGTGTCCAAACTCAGAATTTGGGATGTTTTGAGTTTCCAAACGCAGAATTAGGGATGCTTTGAGTGGCTAAACTCAGAATTTGGGAAGCTTTGAGTGGCTAAACTCAGAATGTGGGATGTATTGAATGGCCAAACTCAGAACTGGGAATGTTTTAAGTGTCCAAACTCAGAATTGGGGATGTTTGAATGGCTAAAGTCAGAATTGGGGATGTTTTGAGTGCCTAAAATCAGAGCTGGGGAAGTTTGGAGTATCCAAACTGAGAATTTGGGATGTTTTGAGTGTCCAGACTCAGAATTGGGGATGTTTTGAGTGCCTAAAATCAGAGCTGGGGAAGTTTGGAGTATCCAAACTGAGAATTTGGGATGTTTTGAGTGTCCAGACTCAGAATTGGGGATGTTTTGAGTGCCTAAAATCAGAGCTGGGGAAGTTTTGAGTGTCCAAACTCAGAATTTGGGATGCTTTGAGTGGCTAAACTCAGAATCTGGGATATATTGAATGGCCAAACTCAGAACTGGGAATGTTTTGAGTGTCCAAACTCAGAACTGGGGATGTTTGAATGGCTAAACTCAGAATTTGGGATGTTTCGAGTAGCTAAACTCAGAACTGGGGATGTTTTGAGTGTCCAAACTCAGTCTTGGTGATGTTCTGAGTGGCTAAACTCAGAGTTGAGGATATTTTGAGTGCCCAAACTCAGAGTTGAGGATGTTTTGAGTGTCCAAACTCAGAACTGGAAATACTTTGAGTGTCCAAACTCAGTGCTGGTGCTGTTTTGAGTGTCCAAACTCAGAATTTGGGATGCTTTGAGTAGCTAAACTCAGAACTGGGGACGTTTTGTGTGTCCAAACTCAGAGTTGAGGATGTTTTGAGTGTCCAAACTCAGTGCTGGTGCTGTTTTGAGTAACTAAACTCAGAACTGGGGATGCTTTGAGTATCAAACTCAGAGTTGAGGATGTTTTAAGTATCCAAACTCAGTGTTGGGGATATTTTGAGTATCCAAACTCAGTGTTGGGGATATTTTGAGGTCCAGACTCAGTGCTGGTGCTGTTTTGAGTATCCAAACTCAGTGCTGGTGATGTTTTGAGTGTCCAAACTCAGAGTTGAGGATGTTTTGAGTGTCCAAACTCGGCGCTGGTGATGTTTTAAGTATCCAAACTCAGAGTTGAGGATGTTTTGAGTGTCCAAACTCGGCGCTGGTGCCGTTTCGAGTACAAACCTCGGCCGCGCCGGAGGCTCCGGTCCCGTCCCGTGGCCGGGGGATTATTGTGCCTGAAAACATCGGCTCGGAGGCAGCGGGGAGGATTTGCCTTTCCTGCCCCCGTCTCAGCCCCGAGAGGCCCAGACAAAAAAGGAACAGCATGTCTTTGAGGCTGGCCGAGGTGGGCATTGTGCGGGTTTCAGACGGGGACTTCACGGAGCGGGGTGGACACAAAGGCGTGTCTGAGCTCCCGAATCCCAGGCGCTGTGATCTGCATCTTAATAGCAGAAAAATCAATTAAACAATCTTTCCAAATCCTTCCTAGGATTTCCTTCAGCTCTAGGGCTGAGCCGGTTCTGGTTTATTACGTCTTTTATTATGCTGCGTCGCCGAGGATAAAATTCACTTCGTTTTCTTTCTTTCTTCCTTTCTTTCTGCCCCTGGTTTTGTTTGGGTTCTCCAGCAGAACGTGGACACGGTGTGGGTTTTTCCCTGGAAGTGCAGTGAATTTCTGTCTGGTTTTGCAAGCTGACTGATTTTTACACATGGCTACCTTAAATAGTGGCAGCAGCAATCTAATAATGCTGTGGAAACGAAAAGTTTCAAAATTTCATCTCAAACATTTCATTGAGTGGGTTTTTTTGGGGGGGGTTTTTACTCACAGGAGAGAGCTTTCCTATAAAATCAGCAGGAAGAAAAACTCCTTTCTGCCTTATTTTACGGCAAAACCACTCCACGTTAATTTGGGTTTGCTGTTTTGAGCTTTCACCATTTTAATGTTTCAGCTGATGATTATTTTCTCCACGTGTGCAACTTTTGGCGGGGAGGGATTTCCAAGAAGAAATCACTTAAAATGAGCTTTTCTCAGCTCCTTTTCTGCCCTCCCTGCTGTGCTTAGGTGTGGGCACAGGTGTGACCTGTGGGCTGTGAAGCTGCCGGGCTCCTTCATCCCCCCCAAAGTGCTTCTGGCTGAGGAGGAGGAGGAGGAGGAGGAGGGAGGTCAGGCTGCATTCTGACATCAGGAAGGACAATTGCTGTCAGGGTGTCTAGACAGACCTGATAAGGATATTAGAGGCTGACAAAGAGCAGCATTGTGGAGGGGTCAGGGAATCGGTCACACATGTTCTGCGTGCTCTGGTTGTCAGGTGGACAGGGTTTGGGAGGGGGGAGAAGTTGTTCAGGGATGGGGGGAAGGTTGCAAACATCTTCATTACGGAGCGCTGGGCTTGGTTATAAGAGAAGTTGTGGCTTGGTAAAGTTAAGGTTTGAGTGGCTGGAGGATTCTCTTTTCATCCAGCAAAAATTGCCGCCATCAAATCCATCCCCAGGAGTTGTTTCTTTCCCAATCCCCCCATCAAATCCATCCCCAGGAGCTGTTTCCTTTCCCCCCCATTAAATCCATCCCCAGGAGCTCTTTCCTTCCCAATTCCCCCACCAAATCCATCCCCAGGATCTGTTTCCTTCCCCAGGATCTGTTTCCTTCCCAATTCCCCCACCAAATCCATCCCCAAGAGTTGTTTCTTTCCCAATTCCCCCACCAAATCCTTCCCCAGGATCTGTGTCCTTCCCCAGGATCTGTTTCCATCCCCAGGATCTGTTTCCATCCCCAGGATCTGTTTCCTTCCCAATTCCCCCATCAAATCCATCCCCAGGATCTGTTTCCATCCCCAGGATCTCTTTCCTTCCCCAGGATCTGTTTCCATTCCCAGGATTTCTTTCCTTCCCCAGGATCTGTTTCCTTCCCCAGGATCTGTTTCCTTCCCCAGGATCTCTTTCCATCCCCAGGATCTCTTTCCATCCCCAGGATCTCTTTCCTTCCCCAGGATCTCTTTCCTTCCCCAGGATCTGTTTCCTTCCCCAGGATCTCTTTCCATCCCCAGGATCTCTTTCCATCCCCAGGATCTCTTTCCATCCCCAGGATCTGTTTCCTTCCCCAGGATTTGTTTCCATCCCCAGCATCTCTTTCCTTCCCCAGCATCTCTTTCCATCCCCAGGATCTCTTTCCTTCCCCAGGATCTCTTTCCTTCCCCAGGATCTCTTTCCTTCCCCAGGATCTCTTTCCATCCCCAGGATCTCTTTCCTTCCCAGCCCTTCACCCTCAGGAGCATCACTTCTCATCACTATTAACACTCTCAGAGTGATTATTCTCTTCCTGGAGGGGCTGGCTGGTCTGACCTCTCTCCTCTGTGCACTCCCTGGCTCTGTGCAGGCTCCAGGTGAGATTTTGGGGGCAGATTTGTGCAGAGGAGCTGTGCTGAGCCATCCCTTCCATCCATCCCTGCTAATGAACCTCTGAGTGTGCCAGACACTAATCAATACAGCCAGGCTTTAATATCAGCCTGCCCTGGGAGCCAGAGCCAGTGATTTATCATCGTTGTTCTTATCTGCTGCTCTGTGCAAGTGTCACTTGGGCCTTTCTGGGTGTTTCAGTTCTCTCCAACCCCGTTACATCCCTGTGGTTTGGCTGTACAAGTGTGGAAGGTGGTTTTTTTCCCTCAGCAGAGCACCACTGGAGCTGATAAAAACCCAGAAAAACGATGGCAAGACGCTGCTCACGTTTACGTGGGGGAGGCCTCAAACCTCAACTTGTCTTCTCCTTTTAAGTGTCTTTTAATTTTTAATTTTTAACCTGGGGGAATACAAGAGTGCAAACAGCTGGTCTGCACTTGCAAGGAGGAAAATAAAACCTGAGAATTGCTTCAAAGAGCAGCTCGTGGCTCCGGTCCCCCAATCCAAACCTGGAGCAGAGATAAATCCAGGAATATTTTGCAATGTCCTGTGGTGGTTTGATGGCTGTTCCTGCCTCAGCTCTGTGGGAACAGCTATTTTGGATATTTGGTGACAAGAGGAAAGCTTGGGTTTGGGGTTGGATGCTGCAGGAATTCCTTGGACACGGTGGCCAAGGTCTCCTCTCCCACTGGGAAATGGCTCCAAGGTTTAGGCTCAGCTGATGGTTTTGTTTAAAAACTCTTTTTTTCCAGAGGCTTCAGGCCATGTGGGTGTTTCCTTGAGTTCTGGGAATTTGGGGTCCAACTGGAGCCTTACTGGTGGGACTGGGGAGAGCAAGGCAGAACCGGTGAGCAGGGGAGCTCCCAGTTTTGGGGTCAAACAGTGCTTTCCAGTCACAACCACTGGGGAGAAAAATAAACCTTTCCTCTGCTTTTAAAGCCTTTGCGAGGTATTTAACTGCCACTTTGTGTTTTAAAAGGTTTGAAGGCAATTGGCTCCGTTTATTGCCAGGATATTTGGGATGTTTTCATGCTGGAGAGGAAGAAATAATTTATTGGGTTAGTTGAATCACCAGTGCTGTCACCCAGCCCTGAGAGCTCTTTATCTGGAAATAAATATGAAATTTATTTTCACCAGGCCAGCAGCCCTTGGCTGATGGATAAAATCCTTCCAGTCCCACCTTCTCCACACTGCCACTCCTTGAGAAGAGTGGGGATTGGGACTCTCTCCCTCTGTAAATAACAGAGCCAAGATTTCCTTGGGAGCGTGGGTGTTGCTGATGAGTATTGTCAGTTAAATGTTGATTTCTTTGTCACACACACATCAGAGCCACACAAACGGTTCTGTGGGTGAAACCCTTCACACAGGTGGAGTTGTTGCTGCCCTGGGGGGGTTTGGGTTTTTTTTGCAGTGGTTGCTGCAAACTCGCTGCAGGTGCTGTTTATGAGCTTATACAACCTGGTGTAAACTGCTGGTAGCCCCTCACTCTGCCATGAAACCTTCCAGGAGTAAATCCTCTGCTCATCTCGTGTCTGACCATCTTGGTTTTGCCTTGCTGGTGTTTTTTAGGAGCTGGAGAAGCTGGGGCTGAGGGATGACGTGGATCTGCACGTCTACGAGGTCCCTGTTGAGTACCAGACCGTGCAGAGACTCATTCCTGCCCTGTGGAAGAAGCACAGTCCCCAAGTGAGTGAGTGAGTGAAGGGAGGAGGAAAAAAATCACCCAGCAAAGGGTGGGAACCTGCAGTGAAATCTCTTTTTTCATGTATTCCTCCAGCCTGGCAGTCCCTGGCTGGATCTTTTCCCCCCTCAGTGGTGAGAAGGTGTGAGCTGGGAGGATTTTACAGCTCTGCTTCCCAGGAGCAGTGGGTGTGAAGGGGCCACTGCAGAGGGCTGTCTAGACAGCTCGTGGTTTGCCTGTGCCACCTGGGCTCCTCCAGCAGCTCTGGGGGTGCCAAGGCTCCTTTTCACCCTGCTGAAATCCCACTTTGGGTCGGGAGGGGGTGGGAGGAGAAGTGTTGGAACTCAGAATGTCCCTCAGACATTTTTGGAGGTTCCAGGCCTTGGTCAGAAGCATTTTAGACCCTGGCAGGCAGCTGGAAACAGCTGTGAGTTTGGGTTTGAACTAAAGGCAGTTTATTGTGAGTTATCTAAAAGATTTTCTTCTCAGGCTGCTGTGGTTTGCTCACAGCTCAGGCAGAGGCACACACACACCCTGACATCCTCTCTGACTCCTTCTCCTCTTCCTCTTCTTCTTCTTCTTCTCCTTCTTCTTCTTCTTCTTCTTCTTCTTCTCTCCCCACCCAGGGCTACTGCTCTCTTTTCTATGGCACATTACATTTTAAATGTTTACAGTTTTTCCCCAATGCCTATTACCTATATTAAATACTGCCTTTCTATCTTTTATACGATATATTACGTGTTACATGTTTACAGTTTTCCCCAATGCCTATTACCTATATTAAATGGTGCTTTTCTACCCTAAACCAATCTGTGAGTGCCAACATCACCAAGAACATGGAGGTGAGGAAGAAGAAGGAGGAAGAACAGGATCAGCCCACTTTCCTCCATCTTAGAACTCCTGACCCCCATATACAAAGTAAAACCCCCCCTGCACAGGTGCTAAAACCCCCCTGTACAACACTAAAAAAATTTCCCCTCTGTTTTGTAACTACTTTTACTATCCTATCTAACCTTTTGTGACTGCTTGTTCCACCTGCAAAGTTGGTAACTCATCCCATGGCTCAAACCCAAAATCACAGCTGTTTGCAGCTGTGCCAGGGTCTCAAATGCTTCTGACCAAGGCCTGGAACCTCCAAAAATGTCTGAGGGAACATTCTGAGTTCCAACATGTACTCAGGGTGTTTATTTTCATTTCAGGGCCGACTAAGCTTAATTTCCCTTGCAACCCCAGACCTCCATGATTTCAAAACCCTTTTTGTGCCCTTCTCCCCTGGCAGCTGGTGGTTCACGTGGGCGTGTCGGGCATGGCCACCACGGTCACCCTGGAGAAGTGTGGCCACAACGTGGGCTACAAGGGGCTGGACAACTGCCGCTTCTGCCCGGGCTCGCAGTGCTGCGTGGAGGGAGGCCCCGAGTGCATCGACTCCATCATCGACATGGACGCCGTGTGCCGCCGCGTGTCGGCGCTGGGGCTGGACGTCACCGTCACCATCTCCAAGGACGCCGGCAGGTAGGGGCTGACCCCCGGAACCCCGCGCTGCCTCGGCTTGGGAGGCTCCTGGAGGGTTTTCCACTCGTGTCCCAGGCTGCCGCCAGCCCCGGTGTTCAGCCTGGCCTTGGGCATGGTCAGGGGTGGCCATGGCTTCTTTGGGAATTCCATCCCAGCTCCGAGGGTGGGATATTCCATCCCTTGTCGCAAATCCGTCTCCAGCTCTCCTGGTGACATCTTCACACCGTGGTGTCACCTCGTTCATGGAACCAGGGGCTCCCAGAGTTTGGAAGGACCTTCAGACCCATCCCCATCCCAGCCTATCCCATCCCCATCCCATGGATCCCATCCCACCCATGGCAGGGACACCTTCCAGTGTCCCAGGGTGCTCCAAACTCCCTTGGGCACTTCCAGGGGCAGCCACGGCTTCTCTGGGAATTCCATCCCAGCTCCGAGGGTGGGATATTCCTTCCCAGATCCCACCCTGATTCCCCTTCCCACTTTGAAGCCATTCCCTGTGCTGGGATTCCATCCCTTGTCGCAAATCCATCTCCAGCTCTCCTGATCCCTCAGGTGACATCTTCACGCCATGGTGTCACCTCGTTCATGGAACCAGGGGCTCCCAGAGTTTGGAAGGACCTTCAAACCCAACCCATCCCATCCCCATCCTCATCCCCATCCCCATCCCCATCCCCATCCCACCCCGTCCCATCCCACCCCATCCCATCCCACCCCACCCATGGCAGGGACACCTTCCAGTGTCCCAGGGTGCTCCAAATCCCCTTGGGCACTTCCAGGGACAGCCACAGCTCGTCTGGGAATTCCATCCCAGCTCCGAGGGTGGGATATTCCATCCCTTGTCGCAAATCCATCTCCAGCTCTCCTGATCCCTCAGGTGACATCTTCACACCATGGTGTCACCTCGTTCATGGAACCAGGGACTCCCAGAGTGTTTGGAAGGACCTTCAAACCCATCCCATCCCATCCCACCCCATCCCACCCATGGCAGGGACACCTTCCTGTCAAGTCACAGAGGTACCTGGAACACAAAAGCAGAGATTTTCCATGAAAAAAAAAAAAAGAGAGATTTTCACATTGTTTTGTCCTAAATTGAATTAAAACAACCCCAGCTCACAATCCCTGCCTCACATCCCCCTAAACCCCAGGATGCCCTCACGACGATGAGCCTGCAGCTCATTTTATTTGTTTTTATCCCTTTTATTTTCATGGAATAATCTGTGCTTTTGTGTTCCAGGTACCTCTGTGACTTCACCTACTACACCTCCTTGTACCAGAGCAGGGGGAGGTCGGCGTTTGTCCACGTTCCTCCTCTGGGGAAACCTTATTCTGCAGAACAGCTGGGCCGGGCCCTGCAGGCCATCATAGAGGAAATGCTGGAGCTTTT